AGCTGGTGACGCCAGAGGTGGCTTTATACCACCCCATTTGAAAGTTTTGAGTGCAATCGGAACATAGGCCCATGGAGAGGTAAATATCAATCCAAGTGGCCTGTTGCCTTAGCTTCTTGTTTTCGAGCATTGATCTTCATGGCTTTCTACTGAATTTTCAGCTGATTTAACTCACGTCTGCTATTCAACTCGTTAAACCTAAAAAATACATAAAATGAATGTAAATATGATAAAATGTAGCTATGTTTAGCCAAATAACTGTACAGCATTATGTGATTCAGATACTATAGGTTAACATAATATACACTGCCCACATATTCGGCTGCATCTGCATGCTTATTATCTCTGAACAAAGATCTGAACAAATGGAATAAAATAAAAATGCTGAAAAAATCTTACCTTGTATAGGGTATATTTATATTTCCTCCCACTCTTTTATCTTGATTGTGTTGGTGTTTGTGCTTAACGATTTATTTTCAATGATTTGAAAATATTATTTTGGAACCGAGGCGTTATAATTTTATGGCTGAAATCTAAAAATATATAAACAATATGAAGACATTTTTTCTTTGTTAAGATACGCCATAATTAACAGGCATCGGGAGTATTTACCTTTTGTTCTTTGCGCTAGTTAATAGCGCGGCTGTGCTTTTCGCTCGTTTTTCGTTATTTATAAATTGAATTGCATATTAATTATGTAAGTAAACAAATTAATAATTTTTCGACAAAACTGACAGCGACAGCAACTTGTCAAGATGTCAAGCTAACATACATCTGTCAATAAAGCAGTGATTTCATAGGTTTTATACGATTTCACACCTCCTTCTCCGTCTTTTTACTTTTAAAATTTCTGGGTTACCATAATAAAAGGATTAAACCTAGTATAAGGATAGTATTGTTATTCCGAGGTTATTCCATGTTTATTAATAGGAATTCAATTCTGAAGTTAATACTTTGTTAGTCCGGGTTTAGCTAGTCCAAGACTAACCTGTGAATAAGTTTGGAATAGGAGATTTTTATTAATAAGACCGTAGGAGTTTATAAACCATAATAACTATAATCCTTATGTACTGTTCGCATTGAAATTCGTCCAACACTATTAGCAACATAGTTTCTTAAATTATTTGTTTGAGCAAACTATAAATCACTACGTAATAAAATTTTATCGACGGCAACGTTCTTGCATTCGCTACACGATACAAAATAATTTGTTACTTACCTACTATGTGATATTTTGAGAACATTATGTCATGAAACAAAACATATGTCAATTTTCTATTTGTTATTACACACTGTGTCATTATATTATTATTACCTTTCCTAAAAAGTAAGGAATGGAGTTTCTTGGTCGTTCTTCTCCATTCGAATCTACATTTTGAAATAAGCACCTAGCTTCACCTAGCTGCACTGACGGACTGATAGACAGACTATTATTTATTTTGTATTTGTTGACGTTTCAAAAGTGCCAAATTATGGTTATAATAGAAATAAATGCTTTGACTTTGACTTTGACCTACGACTGTCAAAGACTAGCTCCACACAAGATCCACAGGAAGAAATTCCAATAGGAATAGGTGGTACCTTTGTACTTCAATCTTATATTGTGTGTACATAAATAAATAAATAAATATAGTAAAAAAAGTAAAGCTGTAGTGAATATTAATTATTTACTGTCAGATTCAATGTTTATGTAAAATTCAATATTTATTTTTTATCTAGCCGGTATGGCACATGCTTTATGTACCTCTAGAATACTGCCATTTAGTCCAGTCTGAATAACTCGGTGCCAACCTAAAAAAACTAGGTTATTGGGAAATGGTCACGAAATATTATCTAATCTTTTGTAGCATTTTTACGAAAAATGAATCCCTATTCATGTTTATATTAAAACTTTTGTTAGACATACTTATTAAACTGTCAAACACCGCGAGGACACCGGTGACCGCAACCTATTGTTCTATAATTGTGTCTATAATGACGGTACTCAACGAGTTAATTATTTTATTTTCGGCTTTCACGTAACTGTTTGACGAGGAACTCGACTAGTTTCGGGTCATGATAAAGGCTCAAATTCATGAGCAGCATTCCGCGATCCGCGACGCGGTAACTGTCGCGCTGTTTCACGGCAGAGGGCGCGTTGGGCCCGCACCGCAGCTGACTAAAGCAGCTAGCAGCAGCGCGACAGTCGCCACGAGTTTGTAAAAATTTTGTGTGATGAATAAACCGAGTCAATAAACTGTCTTCTTTTAACTGTTCAGCCATTAACCTTCATAATCATTAACTTTCTGACAATGTCACGGTCGAGATAAAGATGATTGGTGTGCATAAAAACAAATGACAAAACAAATATTTCAACTGAGGTGCCATATCTACATGGCTTACACGAATATTATTTTTGTAATACACCGGTAAATGATCAGACCATCATCATCATCTTTGGGGATTAGGAATTTGAGGATTGTTCAGTATTCGTGGATTGAGGAGACTGGGGAGAGGGTTTTTTTTAAGGGGGGAAAAATCATCGAATGACTGCTCCCGCCTGGGTGAGGCAGGAGGGAGTGTCAGACTCTTACTGACTAAAAACCACCCCGTTTCTTCTCCTGCACGTCGAACCGGAGCCCCGGTTACCCGTTAGGTTCTCCGCGACTGGGGAGAGGGGTAACTGGGCTTTCGTAAACCTCACTCACACGACGAAACACAACGCAAGCGTTGTTTCACGTCGGTTTTCTGTGAGGCCGTGTTATCACTCATTCAGGCCCAATCGTATTCGAAGCATGGCTCTCCCATACTTAAAATATTAGTAACACCCAATTTCCATCAGAGTCCCACATAGTAGGAGGCAGAGAGTCAGCTTATTCTTACTGCCATACACTGGTCACAAATCCTAACTCCCTACTACTGATGAGAAGTAGGTAGGTACAATATTCCGAAAATCCAAAAAAAACCGCTGATCACTTTACCCAATAAAAATTGTCCAATCCAATAAGCGAAGTAAACCAGTCCTCTTGCTCAACAATCGAGCTTGAAACCACTTAACAATCAAGACTGACGTAATTAAAGAAATTCGTTTTAAATCGATTAATTTACTTGAGTCCCTGCACTATGCGTCACATGTAACGGTATCTATAAGTGGACATTACCTTACCTAATAAGATGCGGAATCTGACGCATCCTGTATATGCTGTGTAACATCGACACAGTATGCAAACGGTGACTATTTTAGGATGCGGTATGTGCTCTCGACATAATTTAGTAGGGCTTGAAGATTTGTGACTTTATGGCAAATGCAATAAGGTAGATTTGGGAGTTTTGAAAGTTTCATTTTAGCTTGGTATGTGATGTAAGTAACTTTGATAATATAGACTGCCTCATTTGTCACGTGTGGGTAAGGATTTGATGCCCAGTTAAGGTGATTAGATGTTGGGATACGATCTCCGGCCACCGTAACGGCCGGACGGCGGACGACCGACGATGAACATGGGTGACTCGCTGCCCGACCAGAACTACACCCGAGCGTACCTACGGCGCGTCGCATTCCGCGCGCGCCTCCAAGAGCCATCAGACCACCACGGATGCGGCCCAATAGGGCTGATGCCGATTCGGAGTCGCGGAGAATTGAACGCGTTACCGGGCCTCCGGCTCGAAGTGCAGGAGAAGGAACGGGGTGGTTTTTAGTCAGTAAGAGTCCGACACTCCATCCCGCCTCACCCAGGCGGGAGAAGTCTTTCGATGATTTCCCCCCCTTAAAAAAAAGATGATGGGATACCCTCGTATTTTTTTTTTTTAAATCGATCTATGTTTTCTTTGGTTTTTTTTTTTTTGTTCCTCCTTCCACATTTCAATTCAGCGCTCGTTTTTGTCAAATATATGTATATTTATTACTGTATTGCTAGCAGGCATAATTTCTTTTCCTTCAAATCCACCTTCATTACCAACGTAATGCAATATCAACAAATCGTGACTAATATAGCAACAAAATACTATGTAATATTACAATCGAAATTCTATGAAAATTATTGTTGAATATTTAATATAGGTAGGACCGTGCGCTAGTGCCAAGATACTTCAGTCGAAGTTTGTGTATTGGAAACAAAACGATAAAGCGCTTTGTGTAGTATGTAGTAACTGTATTGTTGCGCAAGATTCTTTGATTAAAACCATCATCAGTAATAATAGTCCATCATGACAGTCCACTAGCCAGACGATACGCGTCCTCTATAAAAGAGGGTTTTCTATAATCTTGTTGGCATATCAATAATCAATGTATTGTCGTCAATACATTTTCTTTATTAAGATCATCACTATTTCAAGTGTGGAAGAGCCATGCCTCGGCACGAATGGGCTGGCTCAACCGGATTGATACCACGGCCCATAGATATAATAAACACGGCCTCACAGAAAACCGAAGTAAAACAACGCTTGCGTTGTGTTTCGTCGTTTGAGTGAAATTATTGGAGGCCCAATTATCCCTCCCCTCCACCTCAAACTCCCCAATCCCTGAATCCCCAACAATCCTCAAATTCCTAATCGCCTAAGGCTGGTAACTAACGCCTCAGATGTTCTGGGTATCTGTGGGCGACGCCGATAGCTTACCATCAGGTGATCCGTCTGCTCGTTTACCGGCTTATGCCTAAAAAAACATTAGTTGGCTGTGACAGTGCAATTTTGGACTATGGGCTATGGGCCTCCTCCACATAAGAGGGTTTGTCATAACGTGTGAAGCTTGGGAAGCGGGTTAATGGCAGCTTAAATTTGAAAATGCGTCCGATGTTTAGCAATATGTTCGTCCTATATACGTATATGCTTATTATTGATGAAATGTAATACAATTTTACCCTCTACGAGTGTACGAGTGTCGTTTGTGGTTAGGATATCCGTTATTTCACGAAATTCTCATATGATTGTATTTAGGGCGTTTCACGTTATCTGGTATTCACATAAAGCTAATCTAACCGCAAGCGTCAAATCAACATAAATGAAACACTAAAAATTACGAAACCATACATGTGTAGGTGTCATTTTTATAAAATTAAGGGCTAACAGAATAATATATTTCATTTTCATAAAGAATGCAAATATAATAGTAGGGGAGCCTACGATGCTAAATTTGGATTTACTCGAGCGTCGTTGGGACCTACTGGATTTTAAAAATATGCTGATAGAAAGAAAAAAATGGTTTAATGACAATTTCTTACACCGGTGGCGGAAGGGGGAATCCACAGATCTTTGAATCTGTTACGCGTAACTTTTGTTGTAGTGGTCGAGCGTGTCAGATATTGATAATGTACATGCTCCATGTGTCTTTGATAATAAAAAACTCTTAATCTGCCAGTTTGCATGGTGGAGTTGAATGTTCTGGAGAGTACAAACGAGAACCCTTCAAAATCCCCCCACTCTTGCAAATCAAGTTGGAATGGGCACATTTTTTAAATACACTTCGTTTAGCATGGTGTTGACCTACCTTCCCTTAATCTGACGAAACTGACTTTATTTAGTCAGACTTTTTTTAAAATTTTTAGTCCCCCCTTTCTAATCATTTTTTTTATATGTTGGGTATATTCAACAGGACACTAGTTTTTCCCCATATGTTAATCTGACGCGCTCGAGTAACTACCGAAATCCCTTCATGGGCTCCCCTACTATAAAAAATTCACTAAAAATGTTTAACTTGCATAATAATATATTATCACAATTTTGCAATTAAATTTTTAAAATCTCTTTCATTTTGTTTCAGATATTAACCAAAGATGGATCCACTGCAGGTTGAGATCGTACACTTCTACCCTCGGGAAAATGCGAAACCACATAACACAACAAAGTAAGTAAAATTAAAGACAGACGACAATATATGTAGTTGTAAAATTAAAATTAACCAAGAATAGTACAAATCTAGAGATACCTAGACCAGTACCTGGTATCATCATCATCATCAACAGCCTATGCCTGATGCCTAATACTGAGCAAAGCCTCTTCTCACACGGAGAAGGTTTGAGCATTAATCACTACGCTTGTTCAATGCGGGTTGGCAATTACAAACTTATAATTTGGAAATTATAAGCCCCGGTTTCCTCACGATTCTCGCGGAAGGCCTTAAGGAAGGGTTACCAGGGCCCCGGCTCGAAGAGCAGGAGTAGGAACGGGGTGGTTTTTAGTCAGTAAGAGTTTGACACTCCCTCTCGCCTAACCCAAGGCTGGAGAAGTCATTGGATGATTTTCCACCTCAATAAAAGTAAAAGTGTTGACATTATAACCTAACCTATTTCTATGTTTTTAATTAGGTACGAAGTGGTCAATGAAGAGAACCCGACAGTCACCATCGTGCGACGTGGCCAGCCGTTCAGTGGAGTCGTGAGGTTCACCAGACCTTACGATGAAGCCAACGATATCATACAGCTGGTGTTTTCTATTGGTAAGAAGATCCTGCTTTTATATCCTTCGTATCCTGCTTGGGACATCTCATGATTTAAGTGCTATCACCCTGATGCTCTTATTCATCAGCACCAATAATGGGAGCTGGATCCTCTAAGTAGGAAATTCAACTCCGAAGCTTCCACTGTCCCTTGACTACATTTATTTCGGACCTTAAAGATTTGCAGGAACCTACTATCTACGTGGAATGCTGCAAGTGAATACAATTTCCATGCTACTACAAAGTACCTATTTCAAAAACATGTAATATTTTCAAAAATATAAAAATTGCCCAAAATTTCTGCAAGAAATGAAAACTGTTGATTAATTAATCCCTTATCCTTTGTCTCCAGGGGACCAGCCATCGATGGATACTGTGGGAAAGATGTTCATACGCCGTGATGCTGTACCAGACATTCATGCATGGACAGCCACTCTCCTAGACGTACAGGATGGAAACACTGTATCTTTCAAGGTAAGAGCTATTATAAGAGACGGAGATTAGGTCTTCATTGAATTAGTTGAGACAAGGCGTCTCCCAGGGTGACCATTCCATCAACGACTGAAACGTATCTTATGATAAGTAGGTAGTGACATGGGTCGTAAAAAGAAGTGTGCACTTTCGTTATTGCCTAGGAGATACAGGAAAAAGAAACAAAGAATATTTTAGAAGAATCAATTCGCAAGTTCTTGCGATGCGTAGAGGGAACTCGCGCATTTTTGCGATGCGACGTCGCATAATTTTGCGTTGCGACTTCGCACCGCAGTTTTGTGTACGAGCCCTTAGACCACTGTAATCCATGTCTGGCTGTGTCTTCTCAATTCAAGTCCAGAGAAATTGCTGTTACACGAGTTGTTACTAATTAGATAGCACGTACTTACGACGCATCAAAAACTTGTTTAAAATATATAATATATGGGTACATAAAACCAGGATTGTGTAATCAGTCTAGTCTAGCTGGATAATTTAAACATAATTATGCAATTTATTGGCCATTACAGAACAAGTTTTAGTAAATTTGCTATGCTAATTCTATCACGTACGATTGTACGAAATTGCATTTGCAGTATAAAAAGTAGGTAGTAATTGCGTCTAGGAAAGAATTCTATACCAATTATATTATATGGGCATCAATTATATGTATAATAAATACTAAATATTATATTGAGTACTTGTTAAACTGCCTCATTGGCCGAGTGGTCGCAAGTGCGACAGCCGGGCAAGGGGTGTTCGATTCCCAGGTCGGGCAAATTATTACTGGGTTTTTCAAAAAAATTACAATAGTAGCACGGAGTCTGGAATTGTTCCTGGTATATGGCAATAGGCTAATCCCCTATTACATGGAACTTTGGCATAATCTACACCTCTGCCTACCCCTTCGGGGATAAAAGGCGTGATGTTATGTAAGTCTAGTTCTTTTTTTATTTATTGAGAATTTTCTTAGAGATTTGTAGCTTAACTCGTTGAGTACCGTCATTATACACACAATTAAAGAACAATAGGTTGCGGTCACCGGTGTCCTCGCGGTGTTTGACAGTTTCTTTTTTTAAATAACGTTGCCCCACACTAGGATTGTCTCCTGTATCGTGGGTGCGTTTACAATCATTTACAGACAGTTTAAATCGACAGTGGCGCCACTGAAGGTTAATATACAAATCAAACGAGACCAAATTGATAATAACTCGTATTAGTAAAGTACTTAAGCTCTGTACGAATACAAAAGTCAAAACAATATCTCAATTACAACTTTATGCACATATAATAGAGTATAATTTGATTTTGAACAATATATAATCAGAAACCCATTGCGTTTGTTAAGCATCGGTATTAACATACATAGCGATTGATTAAAGTATTTTTAAAGACGATTTGGTACATTTATGTAAAATTTATTCATACTGTCTGACAAATCAAGGTGACTTTTGGAATCAAATTTGATTATATAAGCAGCTGTCTGTCTTACTTAATTACGTTTTCAAATGTAAACTAACGTCGAAATACTCAAACGCTACTCAATTTTAAGTCGCGCTTAAGTATAGTTCTGTCTCTACAAATTCTTTGTAAAATGACAGAGATGGCACGATATTTAAGCACGACTTAAAATCGAGTAACAAAAGTCAAAAGTAAAAAAAGTCAAAAGTCAAAATCATTTATTTCAATTAGGCCAGAATGGCACTTTTGAACGTCAAAAAAATATTACAAGTGAAGCTATTTGCTCATTCCAAGGTGTAGATTCCTATGGAGAAGAACGAGCAAGAAACTCCATAGGTTAACGTTTCAGTATTCCTGCTTAAAATTATTAAATCAAACGGGAAAGTCTCTGCTTTTTCTGTGCAGATTATTATTTCTGTGCAGACCCAGGATAGCTTTGGAGTAGGATTAGAAAAGCTGATCCAAGCGATAGATAGCGTAGTGTCGTGGTGGCCCGGAGGTTTAAGACGCCCGCTTCTCACGCATGAGGGTGCAGGTTCGAAACCTACCAACGGCAAGTACCAATATGACTTTTTCCGAGTTATATGTACTTTCTAAGATTATTTAGACACCACTGACAAACGGTGAAGGAATAACATTGTGAGGAAACCTGGGCTTATAATTTCTAATTATAAGTTTGTAATCGCCAACCCGCATTGAGCAAGCGTGGCGATTAATGCTCAAACCTTCTCCGTGTGAGAAGAGGCTTTGCTCAGTAGTGGGCATTTATAAGCTGTTGATGATGATGATGATGAAGCGATAGATGTGCGTTTCTCAAACATTAAGGTATGGTTAATAGGACCTTAATGTGTAATTAACATAAAACCACGCCTTTTATCCCCTAAGGTAGGCAGAGGTGCACATTATACCACTGTACAATGTAACACCCACTTTTCACTATTTATGTTATGAGTCCCATGTAATAGGGGGTGAGCCTATTGCCGTATACCGGGCATTTGGTACAATTCTTTTCGATTAAGAGAGATCCTAATTTTTATCTCAGTAATATGCGCAAAGTTATTGGCAGCAGTTAGCTTCATATATCTTTTCAAAACAAATAGCTTCTAAGTAAATTAAACTGTCAAACGCCAAGCGGTCACCGGTGACCGCAACCTATTGTTCTATAATTGTGTCTACAAAACCGGTACTCGACGAGTTAATAACGTCTATTATAATTCAGGTTTCACCAGTTTAACAACATACATATTTGAATATTTTAATTCAATAATCATAATTTATCGCATTGTTATTAATTATTGTAGAAGTATTATGAATAGTAACAACTTAATACTAACGTTGTTATACGGAACACCGCTAACCTGTTGAAAATCATCCCCTAAAGTTCATACAAAAGTAGTCTCTAAACATCGGAAATAAGGTCTATAATATTGGAGAATGGAATCTGAATCTGAATCTGTAATATTGGAGAAGAAATAAGGTCTATAATAGTGGAGAGCGGTTACCGCTTGGGGATAAATGGGCTAAAATACATAACATAAGTACATAACATAAGGACGTTGAAAAAAGGCGGACATAGTCTCTCCAAACAACGACTGTGGCACCTGGCTACTATAGGCCTACACGCAGAATACACACACATTGAGACGAAAGACATCTGGCATTCATTTTTTTTAATTCTGGTAGCTTGGTAACCTATTACACACGCATACATAAATGACACACTGACATTGTGGTGCTTCAATTATTTGTAAGTGATATTATGATTTATTTATATAAAACCTTACCTAAACTATCATGACAGGTCTCTCCATTACGATAGATAGGCATTAAGAAACGAAATCTATGTTACGTCCAAATATACCAAAATCATAAAGAAAAACAAAAATGAACAAATTCTTGGCTAAACTAAAGTCAATAATCGAAAAAAATAAAATATAAATAAAAAATAAATTTTACAAAAAGAAGAAAAAAAAACAATTACTTTTATAAATTTAAAAAACAAAAAAAAAAATATGATACAAGGATATAATTATAGGTAGATTAGGTATCACAAGATTATCTGTACATAATCTTGTGATACAGGGATACCTAATACAAGAACCAGGGCTTCACTGTGTTAATTCCCTGAAGCACCTAACAAACGTTTTTTTTTCAACATCCTTGGGCATGCAGTATAAGATTAAGTCCGTTTGATAACGGCAGATAGTTCTAAATCTAAAAAAGGTTTTTTGTTTGAGTTGGTATTACTTTCGGATAATTTTTTGAGTAGGTAAGTACCTACGTGGTACTGGTACTGGTACTACTCAAAATATAATAAAAGTATTTGGCAATGAACTCATCCCCTATTAGCTACTGGTCAAAAGCGGGTCCTACATTACATAATGTGTATCTCTGGTTAATCCCATCGGAGAATAACGTGAGACGATATGTTTTAGCAGTTAATATCTAGTTATCATTATGTATTTCAAGGAAAAATATCAAATGATGAGCAAACACCATACTAGTCTTGGTTTCTAGTAACACAAGTATTGCAAACAATCTTAAGACAACTTATTATTCATAAATTAATTATTTTACCCTTGTATATCTCTTTTATTAATACCTAGGTATATTATTAATAATTTTATCGTTTGATTGTCATCATTTAATAATATATACTGCACCCAGTGAATCAGTAATCAGAAGCTTCAGTCATAATTAAAATGTATTTAATAAAGGATAGAAGAAGATTAATTCATACTCGGGTGAACAACCTAACATAACATCACATGAGTTCTAAGTCCCATGTAATAGGGGTTGAGCCTATTGCCATATACCGGGCACATTTCCAGACTTCGTGCTACTACTGAGGTTTTTACTTTGACCGACCCGGGAATCAAACCCGAGACCCTTTGCCCGGCAGTCACACTTGCGATCACTCAGCCAATGAGGCAGTCGCTCGGGTGAAAGGTGAACGATATAGGATGATGAGTGACGCGCACGGTATGTCGCCGAATACGTACTGGCTTTTTGCGGCGTAAGTGCAATAATATAAATGATAGAAACGTATAGAGCGGGTGGCGCAGTAATGCTGACCCAGGTAAACTTACTGTATGGTGGTTGACCCGTACAAGCATGATAAACGTACTGAACTACGATATTACGAATACCGACATACATATTTTTTTCAAACTCAAACTCAAACTCAAAAGCATTTATTTCAATTAAACCATAATTTGGTACTTTTGAAACGTCAACAAATATGAAATATATAATAGTCTGTCAGTCTGTCCGTCAGTGAAGCTAGGCGCTCGTTCCAAAATGTCGATTCGAGTGGAGAAGAACGAGCAAGAAACTCCATTCGGTACTCTTTTAAAAAATGTCTGTTTTACATTGCTCTGATACATAATTCCAATATTGTACACATTTTTTATGGCATAAGCCTGTAAACTAGCAGACGGATCCCCTGGTGGTAAGCAATCGGCGTCGCCCATGGACACCTGGAACACCAGAGGCGTTACAAGTGCATTACCGGCCTTTTGGGGATTAGGAGTTTGAGGATCGTTGGGGATTCAGGGATTGGGGAGATTGGGGAAGGGGAGGGTAATTGGGCCTCCGGTAACCTCACTCACACGACGAAACACAACGCAAGCGTTGCTTCATGTCGGTTTTCTGTGAGGCCGTGGTATACATATGTAAAGAAGGCTCTTTTATCCAGTACTAAGCAGGGCATCTGTAAAACACGGGTTGTTGTTCACGATAATGATTAAAATACTATATTCTATTGTCCCTTAGGTATCAGCTCCAGTGACCGCGCCAGTGGGTGCGTGGGTGCTCCGTGTGGTCACATGGCAGAGAGATTCCGGAGAACGCACAGTCTACGACTTTGATCAGGACATCTACATCCTCTTCAACCCATGGATACCTGGTAAGTCAAATTTTAAGAGAGATATAGAAATGACCGACTTTAGAAGAAGAGGAAAGAGAATAATTTTCAAATATTTTTACATTGTATACAGCTTCGACTCTTCTAACCTCGAAAAAAGTATTTAAAGCCAGGCAACGTACTTGTGACTTCTCTAATGGTCGCGCTTATCATTTGGTTAGCGATCAGTTAACCAGTATCTGCTTATTTGGTCTATAAAATAGGCACTAGAATCTCACCTAATATATCTCTTCTAGATGACCAGACCTACATGGAAGACAAAGCTCTTCTCCAGGAGTATGTGCTCAATGATGTGGGCAAAGTATGGGTTGGTCCGGTGAAGACAACTAGAGGGAAACCATGGCTGTTCGGTCAGTTTGATGCTGTTGTGTTGGATGCCTGCATGTTCATGCTGGACAGGGCTGAATTACCTTTTAAGCAGTAAGTGAACTTTTAATATATTTTTAAATGACATTTGATAGAAGGGATAGGTTGTACGGTTGCTTGGTTCGAGTTTGTGCAGAGATAGTCGAACGCTGAAGTAAAATCGAAAATTATTACTAAAACGTTCGAATTCAAATTAGGTAGTAGGTACGGATTTCGAAATCAAAGAACATGACTTAAAATTTTGTTCTTAGGAGATTTCGGGGGCGGTAAATTGGTCTAGCTAGGTTTCATATAAAGGAAATGTTGTTTACTCAAAAAAAAACCGAGCAAAGCACGGTCATCCAGGTACTGCTATGCTGGTAATAGTTGGTAATTTTACACTTTCGTCTATTTTGTCATAGACAATTATGATTAAATCGGATTGTTAAACACCAGCTCATTCATTAGTTACTTTCCAGGAAATATTTATAATTGCATCTACAAATAGAATTTCATGGAAAGGTCAATTTTATTGGTCTGATTTATTGATTTGGCAAGTTTTCAATTGTGTCCAAGATTAATTGTCTAGGATAAATTACATTTATGTATCTACACACATTCTGTGAAATTGGTAGTTTTGTTTGAGGAAAAACAAGAAAAATAAAAAAAATTGGCCTGGGTATCCAGCGTCTTTCGATTTTTAATTAAGACTCCTAGGTACTAAATTGCATAGGTGAAATCTTGGTTAATTGTGACATTTTATCTGCACTTCGGTGAATAATAATGAAGTAATAACATAACATCACGCCTTTTATCCCGTAAGGAGTAGACAGAGGTGCACATTACGGCACTTATTGCTATTGTACAATGTAACACCCACTTTTCACTATTTATGTTTTGAGTCCCATGTAACAGGTGAGCCTATTGCCATATACCGGGCACAATTCCAGACTTCGTGCTACTACTGAGATTTATTAAAATCTCAGTAATACTTTACCCTACCCGGTAATCGACCCCGAGACCCCTTGCCCAGCAGTCACCCTTGCAAACGCTCGGCCAAAGAGGCAATAATGAAGTATATAATATATAAATAATTTCCTTAAAATACAATCTGTATTTCTGAAGGCTATTGTGATAGCATCATCAAACGTGACTAGATCGCAGCTAGCAAACGCAACATGCATATGGAAATACATGATGTCAATTTAGATCTGTTAGGTTAGACCACACATCAATCTATACAAAACCAGTTTATCCTGGTGTCGCGTCGCATCATCTTTCCGCACATTTAACGTTCAGTTTATACTGGTTATGTAAAGCTCGATGGGTAGCCGTGTGTACAAAATAAAATAAACATAAGGATCCTCTTACATATTGCCGGTTTTCTCAATGACTTTTCCTATTGTTTTTGAAATTACTAAGAAGTAATTCGCAATGTACATACGTGTTTAGTTTGCAATTTCAATATAACCGCTGATAAGGGTGACGTGATGATTTTAAAATGTTAATCAGATTTCTTAATAAAACCGGACTATCTACTTTATTCATACTGTTGAGGTGTAATTTCATTGTAATTACAACATTTTTAACCGACTTCAAACAAGGAGGTTATCTGTTTAACCTGTAGGTATGTGTTTATATGTATGTTTGTGCGATATTATCTTGCGATTGGCTGAACCGATTTTGATGCGGTTTTTAGAAAAGTATTTGTTACACTTAGGAGAAGATTTTAATACCTATATTAATTAACCGACTTCAAAACAAGAGGGGGTATACAATATTTATAATTACTATTAGTTATTTATTTTGTTTTATATCAACACGCCTTTTATCCCCAAAAGGGTAAGCAGAGGCGCACATTACGGCAGTTAATGCCACTCTATAATGTAACACCCATTATTTACTAAGTAGGTATTTATGTATGTTATGACTAGAGGATTCAATCCCGGCCCATTTTTCCAGTCCCGGGATTTCGGGATTATCTAAAGTCAATCCCGGGATCCCGGGACAGTCCCGGGATAGAAAGAAGTAACAGAAAGACAGTAATTTATATATCAAAATCAACTATTAATCATCAGTTCAATCTACAAAAAACGAAACAAAAATAATATTTTCTTCTAATAAAATAATAAACAAACAAACAAGGAACTTCTTTACTTAGTGTAATAGTTTGTTTATTTTGATTCACATAAAATCTTTAAAAAATCAACTTCTAAACACTTGTTTAGATAAAAATTAAAAATGACTTAATTCTAAAGAGATCAGTAATACAAGGTAATTTATAAATTATTTCTTTCAACTTCGAAAATAATATCGAAGAAATAGTAAAGCATCCAACGACTCATCAGAAAGCTTGCTTCTTAATTTGTTGCACAAATATGAAGAGGCAGAAAAAGCGCGCTCAGGCTCAATGGAAGTTGGAGGAATCGTCAATAATTTTTTATAAGTCTTCTCCAAATTATAACCTTGTGTGGAACTAGCTTCATAAAGATTCATTTCTTGTTTAATGATCTCAAAAAGATCCGTTAGCAATTACAAATGAAATCAGATGTGTAAACAAGATGGCCGTTAAAACTTCTAACGTGCGTTTCGCTTCGTTTCATGCATATTTTTATTCTACATCACAAAAATGAATCTCAAAATGCATTGGTAAGAGCATAAATTCCAATCCCGAAAATCCCGGGATACTTAAAAAATAATCCCGAAAATTACGGGACCGAAATTTGATCGGGATCCCGGGATCCCGGGCTTCGGGATCCCGGGATCGAATCCTCTA